ATCCGCGCTCGAGAGACGTAGTTACATCGTCTTCGCTACTCAACGCACCATCTGATGTGACGTTTCCATTGGACGGAAGTGCCAACTGCATTCCAACTTCAAAATTAGGCGGAACAGCTCCAGCACCGACACATTCCAACAAATTAAAGATAATCTGCCAGTCTTGCTCTGAATGGATGTTTTGGGCAGAGGTTTTAAGCAGCTCGTAGATGCCAATGGAAATTTGTTTCGAAATCCGCAATAGCAGTGCCGGCTGCAGTGATAACAGCTTCTTGAGCGACTGCAGCACAACGGGGCACAGCTCCTCATTGCGCATCAGATAGATGGCCAGCTTCAGCACTGCCACAATGCAGCGATTAAGTAAATAATCATAGCCGTTCTGAGCACTGGCATGCAGCAAAAGAAACATTTGATCACGCACAGCTGGCCACAGAGGAATCATGCGATCCCGATTATGAACCACAATTTTGACAAGAAACTCCATCCAAAATACGGTTATATCTTCTGCATAGCCCTGAGCAGAGGATTTAGGTGTTTCTGGTACCTTCAATAGAGACAGTACGCATCTAAGAAGCTCCTTTAACGACTCCAGCTGGACAAACTTTGACTCCTGCAGCATTTGCTCTAGCTGACACTCCTTAATGCATTTCCGGCCATGTTTGATAAAGTCCTGCTCTTCATAGGTAGGCTCACGCTGGCCTTCAGAGCTGATAAAAGAGTAGAGGCTGGAGAACAAGCCCGACTCCTGCTTCTCTCGGGGTTTCTCCAATATCAATATAGCCTTACCATTAGGCTCGCAGAAATCCTCTACCTCAATAAGCGTTTTGGGTAGAAGTTTTAGACGAAACAGTTGAAGAAACAGATCCAAAATATGCTTCCAGCTTTCGCGCAGACTGTCACCATAGCCGTGCACTAGGAGAAACACAGTTCGCATTGCCGCTTGCGCCTTGGCATTCAGACCAAAATTAACTGCCAGTTGGATTTCATTGTTGGCTGGCACTGGCTCATGCTGCTCTACGCTGCTCAACAAAGTTGTAAATTTGCACAGGGTCAGTATAAGCGCATCAAAGTCCGCATGTAGATTATAATGGGCCGATATAGCTGCCGATTTACTAAATCCTGAAAAAGGCACGTTTTAAAACATTTCATTGAATTGTCCCCTTTTTGCCGGGTATTTCTTACCTGCTAGTGTTCGCTGATAACCCGTCTCGGTGCTCTTGTCAAACATAAAGCTCAGTGCACTTAGTGAGGCGCCCCATACAATATTGAAGATTTGTACATCGTAGGCAGCATCGTTTACGTAGTGAAAGTAACCGTCGTGGGTAGCACCACGACGCAACAGCATCTTCCACAAATAATTTTCTCGGACGAGACCAGTCTGCTCGGCGGGCATAACAATCTCTTCGTTCCTGCATTAATAAATAATATATAGAATAATATTTGAATTATCAATTGAACTTCTGCTCACTTGATGGCATTAAAGATTTGCGCTAGCATCTCCTGATCAAAATCCTGTCCGCCATTTAAGCCTCGTAAATTCTTTGTAAAGTCCTCTAGGGTCATAGGTACATTAAGACGCTTAGCATTCGAATTATGCTGATCCATGTTTAGCATGATGATGGCATAGGCCAAGCGGAAGGCGGCATCTGTATTGGCAAACGGCTCCTTGTTTTGATTCTGTAAACCAAGTCACAGTTCATAAAAGTTGTTGAATAGGCGACACATAATCAAACTTAGAAAATGTAATAGTTTTATCATGAAATGTATTTGTACGTCTCTCCAAACATTGCAATGTCAAGTGATTTAAAAACCTGGAACCACTAGTTGTGTATCCGTCCAATTACAAAAAAAAAATAAGTGCATAAAATAAAAATATATTTAAAAAGTATACTTACATGCCAATGATCTGAGAAGTGCTCCAAGACGAGAAATATCAACGGAGCCTCACCAGGTAAACGGAAAGTCTCCAAGTAGAGACGCAGCGCTTGATCAACGCGAAGTCCAGTGAAATCAAACGAGTCCACAAAATTGATAAGGATTTTAGAGTCCACGTTTTTCTTTTTGGAGATGTATTCACCAATCATTTTCTTGTCGAGCCCTGGATTCTCGCGCAGGAAAAGTGCCACTTGCATGGGATCAAGCTTAGCATTTAGAATGCCATGCTCTTGCAGGTACTGAATGCCTTTGTCGGGTCGCTGATTGAACCACTCCGTTCCCTTGGACAATAGACGCTTCTTTTCCTTAACGCTGGCCAGCTGTTCACTTGTAATATTGCCACCCTCGCCTCCTGACTGTAGTCGTAAACGGTGTGAGCTATTGTTGATAAAGCTCGAGATGTTTTCTACATGCTCCTCTCCATTGTCAATTACAATGCCCTCAAGACCGCTATTATGACGCGAATGACGGCTGCCAACAACACCTGTCGTAGGAGTCTGCACAAGCGCGTTGTTAGCGCTGTTGTTGCTTTTCGCAGCAGCACAATTATATTCTATGCAATCGATGACACTGATCAGGGTATCCATGGAGATGATGTGCGTGCTGTAGACTGCATTAGTTGCTGAGAGCGTGTACTTGCTCAGCATATTAGTAAGACTCTCGAACATGTCCGTACAGTACAAATCGCAGTCGTAATTTATGTAGAGTTCGGTGACAAAGCCGGGAATACGCCACAGCTGTAGCAGATTGTCCAGCGCCAGTTCGCGCATCTCGTAGGGAGTTTTCGGATTATCACTCGCTATAATTTCGCTCAATTTCTTAAGATAGCACTCCAGCTGAAACTTTAGGTGTCCGCGCAGCGATTCAAAAAGCAAAAAGCAAAGTTGCAAATCAGCAGCAAAGATGCTGAGGCGCTCTGAGCTTAGGAGCTGTTGAAGAGAAAAGTTATTATTAATATAAAATAAATGTCAATATTTTGCGATTTGCGAAATAATATGCCAGATATATACAAAGTCCTAGTCTTGTTGTTCATGGTTAACTCACCGATATTAGGTTTCTACACAAATCATCTTTGACCAGCTCTAGCAGTGCTTCATATTTTCCAATGTTGTCGGCAGCCACCTCAAAGGCAACGGTAAGAAGACTCAGACCAGTATGCATCATGCTGTCCGAGTTTTGTTTATCCAGCGGATTGCATAGTATGATAAGAAACCGGAACAATTCCTGGATAAAGGGTAGCCCATACGGCGTGAGAGTTGCTGACAAATCGGCTGTATTCTGCGTGGACGATTGCTGGGTAAATCGCACGCCTACCGAATTAATATATTCGCTGCTGTTGGCATCGATAAGTGCGGTAGTCGTGGCCAGCGTAGGCTCCTCTTCCCCATCAGTTGGCTCCTCAGGTTTTGTGATGTCCACCTGAATTGTTGGCACATCTATTTGAGCATTGCTTACACTACCAGGATCGCCAGCATGGTTAACAACTGTTGTTGTGGTGGGAGTTTGCGCGATCTTGCCCTGCATATCAAGAATATTGCCTACTGGAGAAGCAGGAGTCGTAGCAAGTATGGGCGCCTTCAAATGAGTGGGCACCACTAGCGTGCTCTGCGGCGTTTGAGGCGGCTCCTCGGCTGTGGATGACTTGCGTTGCACAGCTAAAGCGGACTGTGTCTTGGACTTTTGTTTCTCTGTGGATGCACCAGCGGCTTCGTAAATAGTAAAGCGCTTCTGAAGTACAGTGTCGCTGCAGTCCTCCGTAAACTGTGGTAGGCGCATGAAGAACAGCAACACCATGTCTTTCAGTGATTGCTCTGCGGAGCGGCGTAACAGTTCGCTAAGGCGCGGCTCAAAGCAGATTTTAAAGCAGCTGAGCATCACCTCACACATTGACTCATTGCTAACGGCGACTCCCTCTGGACTGCGGATCAGAGCATGTAACACTTCGATGAAACGCATAAATGTCACACTATCCGAGGACTGATCGGTGCCCATAAATCGGGCGTGCGTGACAGCATACGCAATCTTCTCTACAATCACGGCCAGATTTGGTGTTGTGGGATCTAAATTGCAGAAACATGTTTAATTATTAAAAAGAATGATAGTTTGAGTTATCGAAAGTGTTTATAGATCAAAGACAACAAAGGAGGGGCAAACACAGAAACACAGCTATAGTAGTATTATTTTTTATCATAAATAAAACATGGAATTATTATTGCAAAATTGTAACTAAAATATTTTTCATACCAATCAGGCCATATGACAAGAATTTGGTGACCGAGGCTAAAGCGAGACTCGTTAATGGTCCTGTAGTCTCCGCTGTGCGAATTACCTCCAAAAAGGGGGCCAAAAACACATTCGGTTCAATCAAACGTAAATCCTCAATGCGGTTCAGCACCTGCTTCAGATCGATGAACAGTTTCAACAAGGCGTCCTTTTCATCATCCTGCAATATTATTAGGTTGCCAATGTTCTTTGTAAATATATATGTATGTCAGGAACTTACCACGTAGGCTGTTGCATTCCAACGCGTACCACGTCTCATGGCTGTCATGAGTGTGGCCATTTCACCGCGCACCACATAAATACCGTTGCCTGGCAGTGACATTGTGTCCAGATTCAATAATTGCACCTTATTGGCTTCCACCTTTTAGAATTTGGCACGCAACGAACAAATTGTTGAAAACCCCGCTGCAGCAGTTCTTTTCTCACATATGTACATACATATGTTTTCCTGCCGCTTAGACACAGCAAAGCTCACATACACGCTCATACACACATACACGCGCCAAATGTGTACGTTTAATTAAACATTTTAATAATACGAAATTTGTCAATAATTTGTTTTCGACTACGTTTTTGGTGACGTTTACGACGTGTATGTTCTGCTTTAGTTTATACAGAAGCAACCCTGCCCGATTTGTTGATGTAAGGTCGATATATCGATATTGTTGGTATTTTCGATTTCAATTTTCGATACCATAATAAAATCACCGACGTATTTTTAAACCGCTACTTCAAGTAACTTGGTACGAATGACAAATTAAAATTCAACACAGTATTATAATTCGCTATACTTATAAAGTTTCAGTAGGACAGTTACTAAAATTCTCAATTAATTTAGTATGATTTGCTCCCGTTGCTGGACATCGCCTTTGGTGCATCTTCAGATTACATTTCTGGGTGAATGCCTTCAAACAATGGGCGCATTGGTGAGGACGTTCTCCTTTGTGTCCGCGGATGTGTGTCTGGAGTATGTGGTTTAATCCAAAAGCCTTTGAACATTGGGGACACTGATAAGGCCGTTCGCCCTTGTGTCTGCGAATATGCGCCGTAAGATAGGGATTTTGGGTAAAAGATTTCGGACAGTGCGGGCATTTAAATGGTCGTTCGCCGGTATGCACACGTATGTGCTCGGCCAGAAGATGATTTAAAGAAAAGGCCTTTGAACAGTGTGGGCACTTAAAAGGTTGACCTGTGTGAGTGCAGACGTGTCGCTTAAGATGGTGACTCTGCGCAAAGTCCTTTGGACAGTGAGGGCACTTATATGGCCGTTTACCCATGTGTCCAAAGATGTGTCGCTTGAGATGTTGGTTTTGAGCAAAGGCCTTTGAGCAGTGAGGGCATTTATATGGGCGATCGATACTACTTGACATGGCTTTGCCGCCATGCTCATCCATACAACTGTGGAACATATAAACAGATAATATAAAAAAGGTCAATAGTTAGGTGTATTTGCACAATTCGTACTTCAGTTCCCCTTGCTGGGTGTCCTGGTTTTCTATGGTCTTGCTTCTCAATTCATTCTCAAGCTTAATGGGTCCTAAATCCATTTTGCGGATATCAAGTCGATCATGTGTTCTTAAATTGACGTTGGTTTCTTTACCGTCATCTTCCTCCATCTTTAAGCAACGCGTTTCCATGCTCTTAAGTCTATCTGCAATGGTTGTGGCAAGCACCTCACCGGTATTGGATGTTTGTCTCCTTATTGTCGCCGAGTGTTCGTTCTTACCCATTTCTGAGCTAGTGTTCCGTCGCTCACTAAGAAGCTGGCAAAAGAAATGGTAAGTGTGATTGCACAAGCGCCTAAACTTAAATGCTTGCTGGGCGTCTATAACGCAGCGCATGCAAATTTTCTTTGGTAGTTCATCGTCAAGCTTGACTTCGCAGTTGGTGCATTCGTTAAGCATGTCATCAAGTCTAGTGCTGCCTATCCCCATATCGTCTTCCATTACTGCAACTTCAGGACTCCAGTCAAATATATTTATTAATTTTACAGAAGGGCCACTTTCTCTGGCCATACAAACTCGGCACACATCCATATCTTCCATCACAATGTGTATAAACAATTTTTGTGTTACCGGAATTATAAACAGTGTTGATAATTGGTAAATTCAATAACAGTTTACATTTACTATCGATTGTATCGATAAATTTCATGGACTGGCGTTATTTCAGACATATGTTAATGTGTCGACGATGTTATGTTATTCAACAGAAAATTACTTAATTTACATTTTTCACGGCGACCACGCGGTTGTGTTTAGAGATTGAAATTAACTTTACAAAATTTGTATGCTGGACTGATTTGCTGTCCAATGCACGCTCGTTAGTTTAGTAACCAAATCTTTCGGGTGCTATTTTTCATGGACAAAGAGTAATTTAACAATCTTACCAAAGTGTTGCCCTAATATCTGGTGCATCATTTTCATTAAATTGTTAAACACACATTCATGCTTAAGCTGAACAGCAATAAAGTTGAAATTTAGTTTAGGAAACTAAGCCGGAATGATTTGCTGTCCAATGCACGCTCGTTAGATTAGTAACCAAATCTTTCGGGTGCTATTTTTCATGGACAAAGAGTAAATTAACAATCTTACCAAAGTGCTGCGCTTATGTCTGGTGCATCATTTTCTTTAAATTGTTAAACACGCATTCATGCTCAAGTTCAACAACAATTTGGTTAGTAGTTATGCGTTCAACAGTAAATTGTCGCCGATAGATTACTAGGCGACAGTTATGCAAGGCAACGCTAGAATAAGCAGACGACATTTAATAATGCACTGGCCGACAAACTCCACGGCCTTTGCGTTTTGAGGTGTCGCCACATGTTTTAAAATAGGGTTATATGTATTTTTTATTTAGAGTAAGACTACAGACTATATACTTTAGATTATGCTTTATTATTACGGGAGCTAGGTGCTTATTTTAAAGTCTGCGATGCTCCGAGCAAACTCTTCAGATTTTCATCTTGGAACAGGGCTGTTTTTACGGCCAGAAGTAACTGGGAGTCAATAGTTTGGCTGTGCTGCTGCACCAGGGGTAGTCGACTAAGTCGCTTGGCCAACTCGGCCAGCTTGGGCTGTTGCTGCAGAAATTGGTCCAGTACCTGGGGGGAAATGTTGGCCATTTGCGCGAGTTGCTGCACGTGCGGCGCCACGTGATCCGTTGATGGCATCTCTGCGTGTTTAGGTGTGTTTAGGTGCGGCGGTTTCAGATCGTGTGTGGATCGATTTGAATTTGTGGCGCTGTTGGTTAAAGTTGACACTGACGTAGACTTCACGGGTTGCGACATCAATGCGGAGCGTAATGGAATGGGAAAGTGATAAGGTAATGGCTGCCGTACGAGTACGGGACGCATAGCTGGTCCATGTCTCTGCTGAGTTGGCTGAACAGGTGGCATCAACACACGCTTGTAAGACAAAGGCCTGGCTGTTGTACTACTGCCCGGCCAGGAACTGTATTGTTTCATAAATTCATTAAACCTCTGCATTGAACTAGCCTCCTCCAATTCCGAATTTGACGATTTCATTTTTGTTGGTATATTTAGCTTGGAGGTTGTCTCATCGTAGTCAACATCTATATCAGCATTGTTGGTAAAATTGTCATTTTCGTCATCTTTCTCTCGAGGCGTGTTATCGTTAGCGGCTTGTTCATAGTCGAACGATTCCAAGTAGGTCTTCATCAGCTCTATTCCCTGATCATTAGACACCAGAAAGCGCACGTATTTTATGGTTTCGTCGGCGTTGCCAGTGCCCAGCAGCTTACCAAGCTCACTGATGCTGGGCAGCTGGTCCATGCGCTTCAGCCCCAGCCTAGTCCGGGCAATATGGAGCAAATCACTGGGATACTCGTTGACGACCATCGGCATTGTTGTTTTCGCTGTTGGGTTACCAGTGCTCGGATTGATAAGTTTATAGACGGGTATATTGTAATAAAGTGCATTTTGAAGCTTTGAATTCAGCCGGGGCTTGTCATTGTCTACAATTATTTCACTTGGTTGCCCGTAGAACTTTGACCCAAGGGACAAACGTCCGCTAATGCACTGCAGCAAGGCCAACTGCAAGACGAATTTCAGTAACCGGGCGAACATTCTGCTCGATTCGACGTTTGATGAACAACTAATAAAATATCGCTGGTCCCATATTCCAAAAAGCCTTGGGAAAACTATTTCCTCTTCTATTCGTGTATCGCCCTAACTTCGTGGAATTTTCTTTATTTTGTTTCCACGAATGTTCGAATTCATAGATGACGAGTTTCTACCTGCTGTGTCTTACAAATTCTCAGTTTCCTTTGAATTTTCGCCGAGACTCCGTAGGTACCTGCATTATTACCTAAATACGTGTTCCTTTTTATAAATTTCATATATAGGGTTTTATTTACATTGATTTATGTGATCAAAATAAACGCAGCTTTCTTCGGTCTTTTTTTAACAATCGCATGTTGATATGATAAAAAAAAATGCTATTCATTTATTATGTATTGCACAAGTAATTAGAATAGGTATTACCTAGCTAATTCAAACACATAATTTGAAAACAAACCAAATAGTTTAATAACTTTAAAGCTCTTAAATTACCCATCTAGCGACAACGTCTGTGGTAAAAATTTGTTGTACACTGAAGGGCCTAACAGCACTTAGAAACTAGGGAATCGTTGACTAAAATTAATAGTGAATTTTAATTTTGCCAACTCTTAAGAAAATTCCCTGTACATAGGGGAACTTATGTGTATTTACCAAGTAACGTACATGAATTTTGCACCTAAGACAAATTTGCAAATAATGTAAGGTATACTATGTAAATGGCGTGTTTTATGCAAGTACATAACATAGGATTTCCGCTTGCATAACCGCTATCAGCATTTCGACACGCCCACTAGAGCGGGGCGTATGCATCGTTCGTGCAATTTGTAACCGAGTTTGGTAACCTCTACAACTGTATTGGCCTCGACTGTAGCGTCGTCCTTTTGAAACAATGCCTCGTGCAGATTTGGATCAAATTTCTGATTGATGGGATCCAGAGGCTCTAAACCATGACGCTTGAACACCTGTAGAAGCGCGGCGCGTGTCATAGTTAGTCCCTCGTATAAGTTCTTCAGATCAGCATTGCCGTTAAGCTAAGTATGTGAACCAAAAGCATTAGTTGGAAGCGTAAAGCTACGGATATAAGCTAGATATAACATACTTTTTCCTTGGGTACTGCTTGAGTTGCATGACCTAGTGTATCGGCCACTTCAAGTAGATCCTTGCAAAAGCTTTGTATGCCAAAGATTTTGGCATCGTTAATTTGTTTGTTTAGTCGTGTGCGCATATTCTCGCTATCAGCCAGCGCACGCTTGTATTTGTCTAGAAGCTCGCTGTTTTGTTCTTTTGCTACCGCCAGTTCTTGCGTCAGCCGCTCGATTTCCGGAGACAGCGTCTTTTTTTGTTCCGCCGCTGCGGTCTCATCACCCACTGGTTGCTGCTGTTTTTCCGTGCTATATGCGCGCAGCAATTGTGGTTGGGAGTAGCGCAGTAAGTTGCTGGGATTTGGTACAAAACGAAAGCATGATGATAACGTGCGTCCAACCGTATATATGTAATTACGTCACAAAAAAGAGACACATGCGGTACATAGCAATGGCGCTTACCTCAAACGTTTTGTGCTTGCCACGGGCCGAATGTTGCTCAAGCGATTGGCTAGCATTGGCAATGTTAAAGACGCTTTTGTTGCCATTGATGTTTTTGTTTTCTTAAAAACTTTGCAACTTTTCACAGCTCTTAGAATAAAAACTTCACAGGAATAAATTTTGCCGCAGCGCTTGCTGATTAATCGAAAGCTGTTATCGATATACAAAATACCAAATTTCAAATGGTATATTATGCGCAGCGTTGAGCTTTTTTTCTGTTTGACAGCGTTTATTCAAATTCGAGGCAAATGATCGTATCCAGGCAACTTCGACTAAAAAGAATGTTGATCGGTTGGTTAGTTAAAAAAAGCAACTAATACTGAATTTCCACAAACATTGCTGCAAAAGTTTATGTTATCACTAAAAACCATGTGATGAGAATGACCGGTCTTTACTTATGCGTAAAAGCAGTTTAGTTAAGGCAGTTATTGCCTTGAAGTTTTTATAATTGTTCCACCTGCACTTGATACGCGTAAGCCGCCGGGTGAAAGCAATTAATCATACAAAATCATAAAAATATTTAACATGTAGATCTTGGACGGAAACACGCCCAAAACTGTAGCAAATTGTTGAGGCCCACAAGTGTGCGTACACATGTACGCTCATACATACACACATACACACATACATATATATGTACCAAAATGTATGCAGTGTCTGTTGTGAAAAATGCAAATTTTGTTCATACCCAGCAACCATAAATATAGGAAAAAGGGGCATTATAATCTATTATTATAAATATGCATGCAAATATAACATTTTTAATTAGAATAAACACCCGAGTCGATCTGTCGCCAAGATTTCCAGGAATTCGCTTATAAAATTTTTATTTGGGGAAGGACCATGTGCGTGGTATCTTTAGGTAGGGTACTCTCGAAAAGAAAATTCTTACTTGTTTTGTAATAAGCGTTGTACCATTGTTTGGAGTAGGAATCTTTAAAATTCAAAGTACGAAAATGTGTGCTTATTCAATAGAGTATCTTACAATATACATACATACATAGATATATACATGCATGTACGCGAACAATGTATCCATGTCTGTGTATATTTACGTACGTATGTAAATACAAGTTGTATGCATGTGTTGTATATATTTTAGAAGTTAAGGCATAGAATCCCATTTAGTTGAAATTGAACACTGTATCAGTGCAGTTGAAAGAAACATTTGTAGTGTTAATAAAACAAATAGGTATCCTGTTTAAATGCGTGACGAGGATATACAATTAGCTCTGCAAATGGCTGCCAATTCAATATCTGTCGAGGATGAACCTCTCGGCGCAGCAATAGCGTCACCTGAGAATTCTCCGAAGCCGCTGAGAAAAGCAGTCGCCTTGGATTTGAATGAGAGACGAAAACAATTTCGGTAAGCAAACAGAGAACAACTTAAAAAGATACTATAAATAGTATAAGATATACAAACGCATTTTTGACACACTGAATATTAAACAACTAAGCATATGTACATATGCATATTTCGCTGTTATTGTTATCCAATTATTATTTTGGTTATTGAGTGCATTTACTCTAACAATTTTGTCTACCATTTATAATTTTTAACGGCTTCTTTTTTCGGTTTCGCAACACTATTCGTTGCTTCCTCGATAACGATTGCAGCTTTGCTATAGAAAAAAACATTATTATTTCAAACATGATTAACCATTAAAATATTTGAACTAGAATATACCAAAATCAAAACTGATTAATATTAATGGTAAAAAATGTTTTTAATAAAATTCCTAAACATTTTTGGGAAACAAGCTTGCAGGCGTGTGTATTTTATCAGTATTTTTCCGGTCCCAGTCTACAGTCACACTCATAGGCAAATTTATTGAAGAAGTGTTGTACGGCTAAAAAGGCTTAAAATGTCAACATTACCAAACACTCCCAAACATAACAAATCAACATCGCCTCATCATCATGCAAGCCAAGAAACCAAGGATAGCAATAGGGTCGATGGCAACGAGTCGTCCAGTCGAGTCAGGGGCAGCAACTGGTGGTGGTAAGCTTTATCATCTGGCTAAACGCGCGCAATTTGCAGTTATTACTTTATTAAAAACTCCAAGCTGTCTGACACCAGGGTTGGCTCATTTGCCCGCGGTAATTGTTTACTGTCCCGGTTGCCGGAGTTTGCGCTCTGAAATCAATATAAGTTGCTTTGCATTACGGAATTCACATTCCCATTTACAGTGATCGTTCCACTGTTGTTGTCTGTGGTCATAATAGTCAATTTTACGGCTTGAGCTGCAGCTGCGATAACCATTAAAAGAAAGCCATGTCCGCTGACATATCATTAAATAAACTTGAGTTGATTAGGTTTTTATTGCGAACGTTTTGTCGACTCGTGCTGTACGCTTTGGGCTTAAATCAAACGAAAATATAAGCACCTTAAATAATTAGTGAATCCTGCAAGAGATGCGATCTATCATAGCAATAAACACAACAGGGAAGGCAGCCCTGCCACAAAGGTGCAGCTTAAGAGGATTGAAAATCTTCTTATCTGATTTTAATTAATGACTAATCCTTTCTAGGCGTACACGCAGCTTAAACGCGCCGTCACCCTTTCAGCAGTTTGGACCATGTGGACGTATCATGAAAAACTCAGCAGTGGTAATGCAAATCCAGGATCCCGCCAGTCAACGGCTGACCTGGTACAAGCCACCACTAACTGTTCTGGTCATAAAGAAAGTCAGCGATGCTTCCGTGTTGACACCGTTTGTGCAGCTGGTCCTTTGGTTGCTGCAGGAGAAGAATATGGTCGTCTGGGTGGAGTCTGCAGTACTAGACGATGCTTTACTCAACGAGGACGTTCAATTTCGAGCCATTCGCGACAAGCTGGTGACGTTTAAGTAAGAATTTGATTTTATAACCTTTTCTAATTAACATTTACATAAACTCACAATGTTTCGTGCCAACGTTTTCTAGCACAATATTTTTCTATATAATAACCATTTTGCTTCTTCTACCACAGAGATGGACGGGATGATCTTACCGATCGAATTGATTTTATTGTCTGCCTTGGTGGTGATGGAACTCTGTTATATGCCTCTCTACTGTTTCAGCAATCGGTGCCACCAGTTATGGCCTTCCATTTAGGATCCTTGGGCTTTTTGACACCTTTTCGTTTTGATAATTTTCAAGAACAACTTACCAGCGTTCTTGAAGGTCATGCGGCGCTTACATTGCGCAGTCGACTGCGCTGTGTGATGCATCGAAGAAGCGAAAAGCGACACGAGTTCAACCATGCTATGGATGCGTTTGCACCCATGTCCCCCTTGGCTAATACAATATTAGTACTGAACGAGGTGGTCATCGATCGGGGCCCATCGCCCTATTTAAGCAATATTGATCTGTTTTTGGATGGCAAGTACATTACATCAGTACAGGGCGATGGCTTAATTGTGTCCTCGCCCACGGGCAGCACAGCGTATGCGGTAGCTGCTGGTGCCTCCATGATACATCCTTCTGTGCCGGCTATTATGGTGACGCCGATTTGCCCGCATTCACTAAGTTTCAGACCAATTGTGGTGCCCGCAGGTGTTGAATTGAAAGCAAGTACTCTTAAAACCTATTGCCAAACCTAACTTAAAGCATATGCTCCATAGATTTCCGTTTCACCTGAGAGTCGCAATACTTCTTGGGTAAGCTTCGATGGCCGAAATCGTCAGGAGCTCTTTCACGGCGATAGTCTGCGCGTGACAACCTCAATTTATCCAGTGCCCAGCATTTGCGCCCAAGATCAAATATCCGACTGGTTTGCCTCGCTGGCCGATGGACTGCACTGGAATGTACGCAAGCGCCAGAAGTGTCTTGATGAATTGTCAGACTTAACGGCATCCGGATCGGAAGACACATTCGATGAGATTGAAAACACAAAAATGTATGATGTATAGTTCGTAAGTTTAAGAATTCTCCATTGGGGATATATAAGTGTGCCACGTTGAAAGCTCTCGCCGTAGTCAAACTATGCAAACGCTGCATGAATGCGTGTAGTGTATTAGTTTAACATATTGTAATTTTTTTGATAGTCTTAGTTGTGTAACTCGAATACTTTATTACCAATGTTGCATAGGCAATTAAAACATAGTTTTTCTCTACTAGCAGTTGGTGTTAATACGCTAAGGCTCAGCCTGCGGCTACAAACTCAAGTAGGTTAGGTGGCCACAGAGATTTTAGTTGAAATATATTTGTATATAAGTACTTATTACTTGTATGCATGGCCACTTGTTGGTTACATGTTGCTCACCTCGGTTTAAACTGTTTGCACTGCCTTACCCAAGTTATTCGCAGTTCCGATAATACTCATTTAGGCTTATCGAACGTCGTTGGAAGGCTATTTGCTTAGCAAACGAAACTGAAAGTGACGCCGTTATTGCCGTTTCCAGTTTAGAAAATGTGCCCTCAGGCCGTACATGAGATGTGCGACGAGTTACATGCTTTAATTTTATTTTATTTTTGTTGCCATTGTTTCATGTTGTCTGTTTATTGCTTTTGCCTTTTTTGTTAACAAATTCAAGGTGTGCGAATGAATATCAAAATGCGTATTCGTGTGATTCTGTGCTTGTGTCCGTAAGCATCGTGACAGGTGTGCGTGCTTATCTAGTTATGAAATGCATAAAATCTTGGATTATAGGTGTATGCAATAGTAGACTCCGAACGGTGCCAGAGTACGGTTGTGTGTTTGTGCGTGAATGTATAAGTTAATTGTATTTTTTGTTAATTAAAGTAAAGTTTAGCAATGAATGTACGAGACATGGAGCGAGCGAGACAAATTCTTAAAGATGAAGCAGCAACGCCACCTTGCAGGACCACAGAAACAATGAAAAATACACTAGTGGGTAGTTTGTTCGACAAGCGAAATCAGTTTCGGTAAGCAACAAATATAAGTTTATTCAAAAAATAACTGAAATGAGTGTTGTAGCAGTCCAGTTATTGCGCTCAGGCTGCATTCAATTTATAACATGAACTATCGATATATCAAATAGCCCCTGAAAGCGCCTTTCAAAAATGTTGAAAATGGATAAAAATAGTCGAATCTTAGCATATCGAATATGTCCGTCGAATTGGTTGATGTAATATTAGCAATAGCTGTTGTAGTTGTCGTTCTAAAAACAGCAATTGTAAATAATCGATTTTATGTTAAGAAACAAGGGATTCTTGTC